GCTACCTGGCTTAGGTTTTCAGGAGGAAGAAGGACCTCTAGGTTAATGGATTATACCTGGGGACGATTCGAGGAGGCTGTCACTATTATTCCTTGAACAATACTCCAGAATTCGCCAATCTACTTTGAGTGAATTCTTTGGGCGGATTGTCTCCAGAGCCTCTTTGCGGAATCTCAGCAAACTTGCCTTTGGAACTTTTACGACCTCGGCTTTAGAAGAGGTTTTTGTTTTAATATTTGTCCATGGGTATCAAGGGCTCATGTATTAAGTTAATATCAAACATAACTGAATAATTTGCTAAAGAACAGTTTGGACATGCTTGCCAGGTGGCCAGAGTTTGTTCCTCAGAGAGATTTGTTCCTAGGACCCTATGCACTGCCAACACAGTGGAGACATTAAGAGAGGCACATAAGAAACCATTTTCTCAGAAGCTACAATTACTGGAGTTAGAAGCATAGAATGAATAATAAGACCAAAGAAAATTATACAGAGGTAGCCCACCAGTGAGTTCGTAAAAGCCTATGAACCCGGGACGTCAGGAGGTCACTTCCTTTGGCCCTCAGGGTCCCTGGCTAGCCATCCTGAGTGGGGCCATCGTGTAGGATTTTCGTCCATGACACAGGGCCTCACCATCTCAGTGTCCCCAACAGTTCTGCTGGTGAGAAATCTGGAAAAATAAAGGAACGCCACACAGACCTAAATAGGTAAGCAAACGTCAGATTGTTCCAGCTACAATATAGGGCAGAGCTCTGGTAGCGTAGTGATTATGAATAGGGCTGCGAACTGCAAGGTCAGCAGTTCAAAACTTCTGCTCCTGTAAAGATTTACAGCCTCGGAAACCTTGTTCAGGGTTGCTATGGGTCGGAACTGACTCGACGGCACTGAACAACAACATAAAGGAGCTAGGGGAGAAATGACATTTTTCTTAACAAACAACCATCACCCCTGTTCCCAACACCAAACTCATCAATAACATAATATTCTAGATTTTTTTTTAAGGAAAAAAAAAAAGACAGAGAGAGAAAAGACGTGGTTTCAGAGACCATTCAGTTATCAGCCGTGTCAGGACTCAAATCTATTCCTGACACTTGTACTTTTATTTTTTTATTCACCTTATAAGTCTTGTGTCTCAAATCGAAAGGGTGAGTCTTCATGAATCCAAACCTATCACAGTAATTCCATCCTCCTTGCCAGCGATTGGTTTAGGTATAGACATGTGACCACTGTGGCTCCTGAACTGTGATGGGAACGTCTGGGGGTTGTGGCAGGGGAGTAGAAGGGTGCCTTGTTCTTAAAACATACATACACATGGGGAGAAACTTCCTTATGCCTTGGACATGACTATGAGAATGAACAGGTGAGCCTGGAGTGATTGCAGCCTTCTTGCTCACAAGAGGCATAGCTGACGCTAAGGCAGGCAGAACAGGAAGATGAAGACCAAGATCCATGATGACTCTGTTGAATAAACGAACCTTGAAACTATCCTGCTTCTAACGTTCTGTGTTCTGTTGAAGCTCATTAAGTATGGCTCCCAGCTGGCAGCATCCTGACATGTAGATAAGGCATGGCAGGTGTGATGTGCCCTGGGTGCCACTGGAAAGCGTTTCTATTGGCTACTAAAGTTTCCAACTGTGAGAGATCACTCAGCAAGTTAAAATTCTTTTCCACAGATGCATCTCTAATCCAGACTGCAGCTACGTGCTGTGGAGTCGGTTCGGACTCATAGCAACCCTGTTGTATATAGGATTTCTGAGGCTGTTAATCTTTGTTGTTGTTTGTGCCATCAAGTCAGTTCTGACTCATAGCGACGCTGTTTAGGGTTTCTGAGGAGTGACTGGTGAATTTGAACCACTGACCTTGCAGTTCAAACCGACCTTGAGATCAATTGCTTATCCTAGGGCGCCACACCAGGACTCTAGAAAATCCTCATCTTTCTCCCATGGAACATCTGGTTAATTTGAACTGCTAGACTTGTAGTTAGCAGCCTAGAGCATAACCCACTAGGCTACCAGCATTCCTTTGAATCCAGATTGTTGTTATTAAGTGCCTTCGAGTCTGTTCAGCCAGGATTATATGGTAGGGTAGGGAGAGAACATGGCAGATTTCCAGAATCAGTCAATTAAAAAGACAAACCACCACCTCAGGTATGGCTGAAACACTCTTTAATGTCAGTTAAACAGAAACTATGTTGGATCATGGTGCAGACTTGGGATAGGATCACACGTATATACAGGATTAATTCATTGACCCCGATTCTCTGGGACTCACTGCCATGCTCCTGACCATGATGGGATGTATTGGAGTTGATTATAAGCTCTGCTTTTACAGAAGACCCCAAAGATGTGCACGTGGCAGACTGTGTCAAAACCAGAGTGTCTGCAGGGGGTGGCAACTGCTCTTTTTATTATTATTAGATTAGCTTTGGCTGTGTTTGCCTGTGGTGGCTCTGGTGTCCTGTGCGGTCATGCTGAACATTTGCAGACAGTTAAGGCCCAGTCCAGCAGGAACATCATTTCTGTGGCTGCTGGCCCGGTAAATACTGCAGCTGCAGAAGAGACCGCCCTTGAGGAGATGTGGGGGCAAGTCTGAGGGTGAGAAGCTGAGGCACACAGGGGTGAAGGGGCAAGGGCGTGGGGACAAATGGCACGTCCATCCCACCAGGAGCAGCAGTGAGCTGACTCCAGCAGCCCTCCACACACACACAATTGCTAGATGGGGTGGCCTCTGGTGAATGGGAAAGAGCAGCTGGAAAGTCCCTTGTGCATCTGGGTCTTCAGAGTGAGACAGCATGACAGTGGATGGGTCCCTCCCTCGGCTGCAGGCAGAGTAATGGTCAAGGTGACCCGGCCACCCACCTGGAGGCTTTACACCTAGCAGCACAAGCCTGGTTTACATCCTAATTTTAGTTGCTGTCCAGTTGGTTCCAACTCATGGTAGACTCCACCTGGGCAGAGCAGAGCTGAGCCACAGTGTTTTCAAGGCTGTATGACCAACCAGAGGCAGGCTGCCAGAGCTTCCTCCTGAGGCACCACTGACTGGGTTCGAATTGCTAATCTTTTAGCTAGTAGTCGAATGCTTAACCATTTGCACCACTCAGGGAGGGATTAAACCTCCTGTTTTTAGGATGAATTTCAATTCTAACCCTCTCTTTCCTGAAGGAGGGTCTCTCAAAGCAGTGAGTTTGTGCTCATGGGTTGCTGAAACTGTAGGACCCAACAGTAGAGTTTCTGGGTTGCTGAACCAAGTCTGGCTCAAAAGCCAGGCTACTGTCTGATTGTCCTTCCATTTTCTATAGTACCAGATGCTTCCTAGAAAAGTTAAGTTTTATCCCAAAACAGAGAACTAAGTGGGATTGGCTGCTGGCTCTCTCCGTTCCCAGCCCTGGGCCTTGTACTTGATTCCATTGTTCCGAATACCAGTTCCTATTGAATCCAGTTGGACTCATGGCACCCCCGTGTGTGTCAGAGTAAATTTGTACTCTATAGGGCTGGCTTTTCAAACCATCAGGCCTTTCTTCTGAAGTACCTGTAGATGGACTCAAACTGCCATCCTTTCTGTTACAGTTGACTGTGTTAACCATTCACATCACCCAGGGTCTCTACTGGTCTCCTTATCCTCCTTCAATGAAAATATTTTATTTTCCTGTCTCTGTTCTGGGGCCATGAGTTCTATGCGTCATCTTTAAAATCCCAGAGGCGGCAGTCAGAACATCGTACTAAATATGTGTACAAGCTAGAGGTGGCAGGTGGCTTGGGAGCATGGGATTGGCCCTATGCATCTGTATCTTTCCAAGTCCCCAATGGCCATAAAATATAGGTTGAAAGGCGAGAACTAGCATTTTCTAGGCTCTTCCTCTGGACCAAGGCAGTCTGGTCTACAACTCTGACTGGTCCATATTTTTTCTTTAAAGTGTGTGGAGGTGCCATGAGTCAGGGACTACCTTTAGAGCAGCTAACGACCACCACCTCTGAAACAGAAAACCAGGACATCACTGACAGCTCCCTTCTCCCTAGGAGTCACTCTAGATCAATGAATCCTCTGGAATTACAGGCTGGAAAACTCAGCTCTCACAGCCAGCAACCAGGACTCAACAGGGGCTGAGGATTTCATTCCCAAAACCCAACCCACAACATCACTGACAGCTCCCTTCTCCCTAGGAGTCACTCTAGATCAATGAATCCTCTGGAATTACAGGCTGGAAAACTCAGCTCTCACAGCCAGCAACCAGGACTCAACAGGGGCTGAGGATTTCATTCCCAAAACCAGAACATCACTGACAGCTCCCTTCTCCCTAGGAGTCACTCTAGATCAATGAATCCTCTGGAATTACAGGCTGGAAAACTCAGCTCTCACAGCCAGCAACCAGGACTCAACAGGGGCTGAGGATTTCATTCCCAAAACCCAACCTCCGAAGCCTGCTTCAGGCCGTGACAGACAGCGCTATGGACAGGATGCCAGACATACACAGACCGAGAGGTCTCCAGGGGGCGGGGAGGCCCTGACATGATGAAGTGTGATGGGACCCTCTAGACCCATTATGTTCCATTACACCTTGCTCTCCAGCCGCCTAACCATTACCAAGATGGGACCGGATTAAAAACCCCATCCATTTCAAACTCTTCCCATCATTTTGATTGACAATATTAAGGGCTAATAGAAAAACATCTTATCTCTAATAAAACAAATGCTGACAAGAAAAGACGGATGCAGAGAACCAGCCATATGGCGGGCACGGTTCCTGGGGCCTCGCATGTTCACAGCCGTGTTTCTGCGGCAGGAAGAGATGGCACAGGGAAGCTTGAGGACCCACATTTAATAAATCAAACTGTACTGCCATCACTTGAATGGTTGGAGTTTGCAGCAGGACCAGCACACTGTTCTCACTTGCAGACTGGGAGGTGTGTTAGGAGGAAGAGACTTCCTCTGTGTGATGTTCTGGATGTTCATTCTTCACTGTCCCCAGTGCCTTCAACATGTCATCATGCTCAGTCCCTCCCACTTCATGTCTGCATGGTACTCCTTGAGCCTCGGTCCTCTGGGGGTCCTGCGCCATCTCCTGGTGTGGGATCACCACCAGGCACTGGCTGGCTGGCCTCGGAGGAGTCCGGGCCAGGTTTGGGGAGCTCTTCCTGGGATGCTGGCCCCACTTCGTTCTGCTGCCCTTCCACGGGACTCTGAAGATTTTCTCTTCTGTCCCCTTCTGGTTCCTTAGCTGCCTGTTCCTTTGTCAGTTTAATTATTTCCCTTCCTAGCCTGTTTACTTCTTCCTCCTCAGAAGGTAACTGGGGGAATGAAGGATGAAAGTGCTTGAGCTGGTTCCCGGGGTTCTGATTGGCTGGGGAGTTGACAGCGAGCCTCCCTGCATCCTCTGGTGCTGTCAACACCTCGGCAGCGGCACACCTTTCATCTTGTTCTTGCTTCTGAACCTCCCCTGAAAACAGAACAGGGACAGCATCAAACCTCTGGCAGGATATCAGCCTGCAGTCCCCTCCTTTCCATGTCTGTCACGTGGCCTCAAGGAAAACAAAGAATGGTGATCTCCTGCCTGGTCTCCCCCAGATGCAGGACACAGGGGTCCAGGGGACATGGGACTCAAGGTAGAGAAGAAAGCCAGGCAGCCAATGAGCACCTCCTTAATAGTGGAGGGAGGAAGCAATGGGGTGGGGTGGGGGGAGTTATAATTCATCTTCTTTAGCCACCTGGTCATCTCCTGCTCTGCTCTCTAAAGTGGCTCCTGGTACCCATTAAATACTGACATCAAGGACACAGGCTTTGTGGGTCCTGCAGCCCAGAGACAATCTGGGGCTGTTTAGTCATATAAGAGTTGGGATGCAGTGAGCTGTTTAGGAGAGATTTAGGATCCCCCTCCCCTAGACTCTCCATCAGCACCCCTTCTTTGATACGGATGCTTGGTGCTTCCTCAATTTCAAATTAAAGGGTATGTTATCCCTGTACCCCTGTACCACCAGCTGCATGTCAGTTTGTCCTACTATATAGGCTGCATGTTGCTATGATGCTGGAAGCTGTACTATCAGTATTCCAATACCAGCACGGTTGCCTATAGTGGACAGGTCTCAGCAGAGCTTCCAGAGTAAGACAGACAACTTCCCAGAACAAGTCAGTGAAACTCCTATGGATCATGACAGAACATCTGCTAAGAGTACTAGAAGTTGAGCCTCCTAGGCTGGACCAAACCAAACCCCACTGCTCTGAGTTGATTTCGACTCATAGCACGATCCTATAGAACAGAATAAAACTCTTCTCTAGGGTTTCTGAAATGGAAACATTTAATGGGAGCAGACAGCCTTTTCTTTCTCCCGAGGAGCGGCTAGTGGGTTTGAAGGCTGATCTTGAGGTTAGGAGCCTGATGCTTAACTCACCAGGGCTCCTCCTAGGTTGGAAGGCACTCAGAATACACAGTAGCTACAATAGACTGGGCGTCAAAAGAAGATGGAAGGAATACAGAGAGCAACACTATACCAAAAAAAAAAAAAAAAGGTCGATTTTCAACCATTTCAAGAGGTAGCATATGATCAAGAACCCATGATCCTGAAGGAAGACACCCTGAAGGCATTGGCAAAGAACGAGGCACTGGGAATTGATAGAATACAAATTAAAATCTTTCAACAAAGTGATGCGGCACTGGAGGCACTCACTCATCTATGGCAAGAAATTCAGAAGACAGCTACCAGGCCAACTGACTGGAAGAGATCCATATTTATGCCCATTCTAAAGAGAGGTGACCCAACAGAATGAGGAAAGCATCGGACAATATCATTATGTCCCACAAAAGTAAAGTTTTACTAAAGGTAATACAGAAATGGCTGTAACCATATACTGACAGAGAACTTTCAGAGCTTCGAGCCAGATTCAGACGAGGACATGGAATGGAATGAGGAATATCATTGCTGACATCAGATGGATCTTGGCTGAAAGCAGTGAATACCAGAAAGATGTTTACCTGTGCTTTATTGACTACACAAAGGCTTTCGATTGTACAGATCATGATAAGCTATGGATAACACTGCGATGTATGAGTATTCTGGAACACTTAATTGTGTTCATGAGGAATCCGTACATGGACCAAGAGGCAGTTGTTCAAACAGAACATGGGAACATTGAATGGTTTAAAATTAGGAAAGGTGTGAACCAGAGTTGTATTCATTCACCATACTTACTCAAACTGTATGCTGAGCAAATAATCTGAGAAACTGGGTTATATGAAGAAAACATGGCATCAGGATTGGAGGAAGACTCATTAACAATCTGCGATATGCTGATGATACAACTTTGCTTGCTGAAAGTGAAGAGGATTTAAAATACTTGCTGATGAAGATCAAAGACCACAGCCTTTGCTATGGGTTATATCTCAATGCAAAGAAAACAAAAATCCTCACCACTCGACGAATAAACAACATCCTTGACAATGGAGAAAAGATTGAAATTGTCAAGGACTTCATTCTTCTTGAATCAACACTCATGGAAGCAGCAATCAAGAGATCAAACGACATATTGCATTAGGCAAATCTGCTGCACAAGACCTTTCAAAAGTGTTGAAGAGAAAAGATGTCAGTTTGAGGACTAAGGTGCACCTGACCCAAGCCATGATATTTTCAATAATTTCATATACATGCAAATGTTGCACAGAGAATAAAGAAGACCATAGAAGAGTCGATGTATTTGAGTTATGGTGTTTGAGGGGAATATTGAAAGTACCACAGACTGCCAAAAGAACAAACAGATCTATGTTGAAAGAAGTACAGCCAGACTGCTCCTTGGAAACCAGCATGACCACACTTTGTGTCTCATACTTTGGACATATTACCAGGAGGGATATCCAGTTTGGTAAAGTGGAGGGTCAGAAACAATGAGATGGATTGGCATAGTGGCGGCAGCAATAGGTTCAGGAGTAACAATGATGGTGAGGTTGGCCCAGGACGGGCAGTGTTGTGCACAGGGTTGCTATGAGTTGGTACTGACTTGATGGCACCTAACAACAACAATAACAATGGACTGGAGCTACCGATGGTTATGAAGATGTCATAACCTTTTTTTTTTTCCGGTTGTACGTGGGACCGCTACGGGTTGGCGCTGACACAGTAGTAACTCATCATTACTACCAGCCAGTCTATGCTCCCTCTACGTCCCCATATGCATGCTTCAGTTTCTCCCCTTGGTAAAAACAATCATAGCAGTGAACACAGATTCTGTGCTTTTCTGTGCTAGGCACTAAGCATTTTTTCAGGTTTGACTCCAGAATGTAAGTTCAGGAGAGCAGGGGCCTCACTGGCTTGGCCACAGTACTTAGTTTAGTGTCTATTTGTTGTTGTTGTTATCAAGTGTCATCAAGTCAGTTTCAACTCATCGAGACCCTGTATAGAACTTTCAAGGAGCAGCTGGTGTGTTTGAATCACCGACCTTATAGTTCAAACTGACCTTGTGGTCCAGCACTTTATCCCACAGTGCCATACCAGGGCTATTTAGTGATATATATATTAAAAGTTCCTTTTATTTAAAAAATGAGAGTATAATTTGTTTCTGTAAAGACTATCACCTAGGAAACCCTATGGAACAGTTCTTTGTCACGTAGGGTCATGATGAGTTAAAAGCAACTCAGTGGCCCCTAACATTAACAACAATATATACAGAACCCACCTCCAAAAAAACCTACTACAAAGGAGTTGATTCTGACTAACACCGATCCTACCTACAGTTTTCAAGGCTGTAAATCTTTACAGAGCAGACAGACTCCGCTTTCTCCTACAGAGCGGCTGGTGGGTTTGAATTGCAGACCTTGTAGTTAGCTGTCCAGTGCTTATCCTATAGCACCACCAGGGCTATAGGGCTTGACACACATAGAAAGAAGTGCACAAACAATAAATAGACAGTTCAATGAATTTTCACAAAGCGACCAGGGCAACTGGGATAAGAAAGAAAGCATTTCCAAGCCCCCCTCCCTAAAGTAAAGGCCCTCTGCCCTGCTGACCAGCAGCCTGACTTCTAACAAGCTGTTTCTGATTTGGAACTTGATGCAGACAGCATCATCTGTGGCTGGCTTCTTTTGCTCGACGTTATGTCTGTGAGATTCCGCCACTTCCTTGGGTGTAGAATGTATTTGTTCATTTGAATACATTACGATTTTCAACAAACACTTTTCAAGTGTTGAATGAAAATAGATAACTCAAAGAAAAGAAAAAAAATAGTCAGAGACAGCACCCATATTATTGTTGGGGGTGTTGAGTCCTGGTACAGTACTGAAGGATAATGCACTGGAACACAAGGTCGGTTTGAATCACAAGGTTGGTGGTTCAAACTCATCAGTCACTCCTCAGAAACCCTGTAAGGGGTTGCTGTGCGTCAGAACCAACTCAATGGCACTTAACCATTGTTGTTACTTGTTGTTGTTGTCAGGTGCCATCGAGTCGGAACCGACTCATAGTGACCCCATGCACAGCAGAACAAAACAATGTCCGATACTGGGCCAACCTCCCTACCGCTGCCACACTTGACGCCATCAATGATGTCACCTGGCTGATCCATCTCGTTGGGGGTCTTCCTCTTTTTCTCTGACCCTCCACATTACCCAGCATGACATCCTTCTCCAGCGACTGTTCTCTCCCGACAATGTGTCCAAAGTATGAGAGACGAAGCCTAGCCATCTTGGCCTCCAAGGAGCACTCTGGTTGCACTTCTTCTTAAGTATCATCAATTTGGTTCTGACTCACAGTGATCCTGTATAGAATTTGCAAGGAGCAGCTGGTGGGTTGGACTGTTGACCTTGTGGTTAGCAGTCCAGTGCTTACCCAACAGTGCTACACCAGGGCTCCAAATTTAGAAGAGTCATAATATCATGGATATTTAAAGAAACCTAAATCATAAGATGCAGTTTTTTTCAGCAGATTAACAAAAATGAAAAAGTCTGACAAAACATAGAGTTGGGGAAAATGTTCCCCTGCTTGCATAATGCTGGTTTTACATTAACCACCTGGTCTTTGAAACCTAACCATCAAGATAAGTGAAGCCCAGGGGGCCTGGAGCTGGGGCCCTTGGAACTGTTGTACTTGGGACTCTCCCTTAGAGCTGGTACTGGAGGGGAACAGGGGGCTGGCAGAAAGACTAGAGGCCAAGTTGGCAGCTCAGGAGCTTGAGCAACTGGTGGGGCCGGAAGTCAAGATGGTATGGAGGTTGTTGTCCATGTCCGTGACCCCTGCAGCTGTCCTCTTGCAGCTGAGCCACCTGCTGCCTCACACAGGCTGGGAGGATCACAGAGAAATGAGTAACATGCTCATCATCCAAGGCCAAGACTGACAACTGCTCAAAAGAGAAGCTTAGCAGCCCGGGCTTCAGAGAAGGAAGGGGTAGCTGGCTTCTGCTGCAGCCCCAGGCCGTTACCCCCAGTAAACTTTTTGCTGTAGAACTTGGTCCCTCCAG